TATCAAGTGTAAGGTTTAATCTACATGCGTTGTCTTATCAAATGTGAGGTATAATCTACATTCGTTGTCTTATCAAGTGTAAGGTATAATCTACATTCGTTGTCTTATCAAGTGTGAGGTATAATCTACATTCGTTATCTTATCAAGTGTAAGGTATAATCTACATTCGTTGTCTTATCAAGTGTAAGGTATACTCTACATTCGTTGTCTTATCAAATGTGAGGTTTAATCTACATTCGTTATCTTATCAAGTGTAAGGTATAATCTACATTCGTTATCTTATCAAGTGTGAGTATAATCTACATTCGTTATCTTATCAAGTGTGAAAAATGATCTCAATACGTATCTTAGCTGGTTAGAGATTTGATATGAATGCATTCAAGCTTGAGACATAATTCAAATACATATCTTATCAAGTGTGATTAAATACCGAGTGAAAGATAAAATTCAAAAACATACCTTATCTAGTAGAAGAAAATCTAAATATTGGAGTTGTTAGTTTTGTATTGTATGCGTTAATAGTAATCAAAGGTATGTTATGAATAATTTGTATTTTTCAGATGTATGTTGGCTGATCATGACTTTTCCTATGGGGTTTCAGTTATGCAGAACATCGAGACAACCATTCAGACATGTCACAAACTGCTCTTGGTGGTATCGCAGCATTTTTTACAGAGTGCTATGTGTGATAAGGAGGTGGATATGGCACACAAGTATGCCGCTGATATCCGCCGAAATGATTTCATGGTAGTTCTACGATTGGATGAGTCTAGAATGCCTCTAAAGCTTGATTATATGACCTATATAAACGGTGCGGTACTTGAGGTCAAGGACGTTGGACGTAAAGTGGAAAAGGCATTTGATGGTTTTGGTAATATACAAGCATCTCATTAATCTCGTTTGATGGTTTTGGTAATACGAAACCATCCCATTAATCTTGTTTGATGGTTTTAGTAATATACATCCATCTCAATAATCTCAATTCAGCTAATGTAAATAATATATAATTGTAACCATGAATCTTGTCGCAACAAATCTCGGTAAACAGCTGATCTTGATAATAAATATCATTATTTAATCTTACAGCTAATATCGGTAATACAAAACCATCATTTAATCCGTTACAGCTAATTTCGGTAACATAAAACCATCATTTATTCCGTTGCAGCTAATCTCGGTAAAATAAAATCATCATTAAATCTGGTTACAGCTAATCTCGGTAATATGTAACCATCATTAATCTGGTAACAGCTAATCTTGGTAACATAAAACCATCATTAATCTGGTAACAGCTAATCTCGTTAATATGTGACAATCATTAATCTGGTTACAGCTAATCTGGGTAATATAAAACTATTATTTAATCTGGTAACAGCTAATCTCGGTAATATAAAACCATCGTTAATCTGGTAACAGTTAATCTCGGTAATATAAAACAATCATTTAATCTGGTTACAGCTAATCTCGGTAATATGCAACAATCATTTATCTGGTAACAGCTGGTTTGGGTAATAAATAAACATATATTAATCTAATGACAGCTTATTTCGGTAATAAAGAACCATTATTTAATCTGGTGACAGCCAATTTCTGTAATATAGAACCATTAGTTAATCAAATGACAGCTAATTGCGGCAATAAAGTACTATGATTTTTTTCATTTCAGAATATTTATTGTTCAGATCTTAGATACAAAGGAATTGGGCAACAGGCAAAGCCTATGAGCGCCCTCTCCTTACAGTTATAAACAGTTTACACACATCATATTGAATTGAAGTAATGATAAAACATTTATATTATGTACATGAATATTGATATTTGCATGTCATTATTAATTTTTTGATAATTGTTGTACAAAAACTAGATTTTACAAAAAAATGGCAATTAAAATGATGCTGGTGGACAGAGCACATAGTAAAAGTATGTACTGGTATCATTCCACACAGCAAAGTCATGAGATAAACAAGTAAGTGTAATCTAGTTAAAGCGTCTTGTATCTTTAACGAATCTCTTAACCATCTCCAAGATACTTATGTTCATATTGATATCAAGTCTTTGACATCCATAAAGAAAAGTCTGGGTATTTAATGGAATAATGTCATTAAAAGCAGAAATGGAGTTCA